AGTAGCGTCCTTGTTCCTAGTAGCGATGCCAGGAGCCCCTAGTAGCGAACATTGTTACGGGGCGATAGACGGTCGAAAAAGATCTGTCCTGCTTTTCGGCCCACTGCAGAAAGCTTTGGCCTTGCTTCATCCCGCTTAGCGATCAACTTTCCACAAGCAACGGTTTGGACGCCCCGTTTATAACGGTTTGTTGAAATCCCGAGCTTGATTCAGCTATTTAACAACCTTGCTAAGACCTTCTTAGTGCAATGGCTTTTGAGGAAAGCACCTGAGGAAGCGGTTGGCATGTGCCGCCGCCCAAGTTTTGCGCTCTTCTCCTCGTAGAGAACTCTGAGAGAAACAAAGAAACCAATTGAGGTAGCTAGTGGAAAAGGTAGCTAGTAGCTAGGTAGCTAGTACCTTACTTAAGCTAATAGTATGGACGCAGGATAGCTCACGCTTCTTCAAGGAAGTTCCCCCCCGCCGCCCTAAATGCGGCGGGGGGAGCATTGCTAGAAGGCACAATTAGGAGTAGTTTCTAGCATGAGCTGAACAGTTTCCTTCAACTCGGTTTTGTCTCCTCTGCATGGTTCCAACCCAGGATGTCTCGACCTTGAAAAATCAGAAAACAAAAACCCAAAGTGCTTGCTTCAACGTTTCAACTGCCATGCGTGCCTTGTGCGTGATGTCTTGGAAGAGGAATCACCGAATCGCCTCTATCGTCTCCATCCTTGAGAATTTGACAGACAATCTTCTGAACTTGAAAAGGTTGAAGTACCGGGTATGTTGAAGTGCGACAAAATCTCCAACCTAATAGCAATGGCCTCTAACTAGTAGTGATGACCTCAAACCTATAGTAGTGATGACCTCCAACCTAATAGCAATGTTTGTGATCATTGATCATCGACTTATTTCCCCAATTTGGAAAGTCCTCCGTCGCATACGGGGGTGCCACCTAGAGTGACGTTATGCGAGCATCAAAAGGTCGTGAGTGGACAATAGCTTGTTTGAAGCATTTTGAAGCAGGCAGTTTTGGTGCAACCCTGAATGATTTAAACAACAAAAGGTGAATTCAATGTGTCTCGAAACAGCTCTACTAGCTAGAGTGGAGGCCATCACTCTTAGGATTCCTTTCTGTCTTGTTCCTAGTAGCGTCCTTGTTCCTGAATGCAACTCTTTAAGATCTGAAAAAGAAGCGTACCGAAATTGCTGAAAGGCGGGCCCCAATCTCCCTGGCACGCAAACATCCGAACAATTTCACTCCGAAACGAGACACGAATTTACTGAGACGAGACCGTTTCGCTCAAACGGCTTCGAATTGACACGGACACAGTTCTTTCACGATGCGCTCCCCGCGTTCCTCCAGCGGTGCATCCCTCGCTTGCTCGCGTGGGCCGAGCTGATTTCGGTTGCAAACGCTACTGGTAGTTTCCGTGCTCCTAGTAGCGATGCCAGGAGCCCCTAGTAGTTTCCTTGCTCCTAGTAGCAATGCCAGGAGCCCCTATAGTAGCGTCCTTGCTCCTAGTAGCGATGCCAGGAGCCCCTAGTAGTTTCCGTGCTCCTAGTAGCAATGCCAGGAGCCCCTATAGTAGCGTCCTTGCTCCTAGTAGCGATGCCAGGAGCCCCTAGTAGTTTCCTTGCTCCTAGTAGCAATGCCAGGAGCCCCTATAGTAGCGTCCTTGCTCCTAGTAGCGATGCCCGGAGCCCCTAGTAGTTTCCTTGCTCCTAGTAGCAATGCCAGGAGCTCCTAGTAGCGATGCCAGGAGCCCCTAGTAGTTTCCTTGCTCCTAGTAGCGATTGCCAGGAGCCCCTAGTAGCCTCCTTGCTCCTAGTAGCGATGCCAGCACCCCCAGGAAGCGTCCTTGCTCCTAGTAGCGATGCCAGGAGCCCCTAGTAGTTTCCTTGCTCCTAGTAGCAATGCCAGGAGCCCCTATAGTAGCGTCCTTGCTCCTAGTAGCGATGCCAGGAGCCTCTAGTAGTTTCCCAGTAGCGATGCCAGGAGCCCCTAGTAGCCTCCTTGCTCCTAGTAGCGATGCCAGGAGCCCCTAGTAGTTTCCTTCCTCCTAGTAGCGATGCCAGGATCCCCTACTATAGTAGCGTCCTTGCTCCTAGTAGCGGAGCCCCTAGTAGTTTCCTTGCTCCTAGTAGCGATGCCAGGAGCCCCTAGTAGTTTAGTAGTAGGGCCAGGAGCCCCGTTCGTGCTTTCAACAAAAACGGTTGTCCTTCCCTTTTGTGGAAGGATGGGCACGCGGGAAAGTTGGCAAGCAGTGGCCACGTTGGCGTCGCAAAAGTTGTCGTCCAAAACGGATTCGTTGAGAGGCCCCTGTGAGCACTTGTATTTATTGAGTGCCGGAAAGGGCTTGAATCACGGACTTAGCCTTTTCCAGTTTGTCCAAAAGAGGCGCCTTTTGAACGGCTTCAATGCAAGGAACTCTTCAAAGGAACCTTGTAAACAGTAGATGTGAGAAAAACTACGAATACGTTAATCCTGTCCACCTATATATTCAATTACACGGGTGCCCCCTTAAAAGAATGGAAGAGCTGCAAGAGGGGTCAAATGTAGGGAGAAAGGGGAACGTGACATCATCGGTCGTGTGATTTCAGGAAACAATCATACGACCATTCTTTTGACAAAATGTGCGACGGTGATTTCTTGGCGGCTGAGTATGCAAAACGTGGAGCCGGTCACTCCCACGACACACTTAGAATTTGGTTTTCCGTTAACTCAGTTCCACGAAAAAAGGAGTGAGGGAACGGAGTGGCGCACGATCAGCTCAATTTGAATGTTGAAAAATGTTTTGCTTGACTGCAGCAGTTTAGTTACTGCGTACTTAGCGGTCCCGAATTGCGGCCGTGCATAGTGGGTTAAATTCCATCTGGAAGCGAGACCAAAGGAATCGCTGCGGATTGGGCAGAAAATAGCTAGAAAAGGAAAAGAAGATTCCAGTTTGTAGCTAGGGGGCGAGACTTGCGAATCGTCCCATTAGATAACTAGAGCAGTGCAGGTAGAAATGGCGTCCCATTTCCATGTCCTCAGATACATCGCCAGCTTCGTTGACCAGGCGACGATGTATCCTGCCTGGCCCCCTGCAACTGATCAGAAGAATTTGGGTTAAACCTCCTGGAAACGGAGGGGGGCACACACACACACATCGTCGATTCAACACACCGTCATTCGCAATATCCATCTCCATGAGGCACTTCTCTGGCACCATTGTCGTACTCGGCGCAAAGCACATGTGGTAGGTACTTCGTAGTATTTGCGCAACTTTGCGCCACTTCCTTTGGAAGCTGAGATTTGGGAGCCACACCGTGAAGAGAGATGCAAGCGGAAACAGGCGCTGGGAGTTCCTGGCATCGCTACTAGGAGCAAGGACGCTACAAAAGGGGCTCCTGGCATCGCTATACTGGGAGCAAGGACGCTACTCTGGGGGCTCCTGGGATCGCTACTAGGAGCAAGGATGCTACTATAGGGGCTCCTGGCATCGCTACTAGGAGCAAGGACGCTATTATAGTAGGGGATCCTGGCATCACTACTAGGAGGAAGGAAACTACTAGGGGCTCCTGGCATCGCTACTAGGAGCAAGGACGCTAGTAGGGGCTCCTGGCATCGCTACCAGGAGCAAGGACGCTACTAGGGGCTCCTGGCATCGCTACTAGGAACAAGGACGCTACTATAGAGGCTCCTGGCATCGCTACTAGGAGCAAGGCCGCTACTAGGATGTTTGTTGGGGGAACTGGCGTTTTCATTTCGTTCGACTCTCGGAACTGGTACGAAACTGTCGGGAACTCGACTCTCGGAAGTAGCCCTACTTGTTGGAGGCCACTAGTAGCAAATATAGCTACAAGTAGCTTCACTAGATTTCACTCACTTGCGCGCTTTCAAAAATTGCTAACAAGCACACTCTCATGATCTGCATTCTGAGGGTTCGGGGGTGGTGCCACCAGCACTAACAAACAATCCATATCTTGAACTGCATCTTGAGGGGTGGGGGGCCATCAACACACCCCACTGGCAAACAAGCAACATCTTACAGTCACCATCATGGGGGGTGGGGCATTGAGCACAATCAGGAGATGTAGTCAGTTGCACCGGTGCGTCTTATAGCCACACGCCCCGGACGGGATGTCGGAGGCGCTGGCGCGTCTTGTAGCTGCAAGGCTGGAAGTCACTCAAATTTCCGCACAAGCGAGTGCTCACCCGTCACAAAACTGCGTTGCGTGTTGACATCGACGTCGCTTTGAGTTTCTACTTTGTGCAGCCTTCTCCTAAAAACCCTCAACTGTTCTATACTTTCCTTCAGAAATCGCTGCTCGTCATCGTGTGTTCTTGTTTTGGGTCGTTCCCCGACGGTCGACACCTGGGACGACTTGGGTGCGCAATCGCAGATCCGGTCGAAGATCCCGCTCGAAGTTTGAGCGGGCACGGTCTGGCGCAGCTTCCTTTGCGTAATCCTTCCCGTCTTTGGGCGCCAACTATTTTGGAACACCTTTACACCTACAGCCCTTCATTCCCCTGCAGGTGGGCAAGAACAATTTCGAAGTAGGTGTTCTGCAGAAGTCTTGTAGAGGTGCAACTATGAGACTACATCTACATTCATCTAATACGGCTACATCTCTTGTCTACGTTGATACAACTACACCTATCCACTTAGATCTATCTATCCGCCTACATCGACAGCTACGTCTAGAGATACACCGAGACGTACGACTAGACTCACACCAACATCTGTGTGCACTGACATGTGTGCACATGTTCTTGTCTGCATTCAATGATAACCTTTCGCAGGCGCTTTCGGACAAAAAAGCAAAGCCAAGAAAAACATCGCCAGGTTCACGGTTCAGGTAGATCATGCGCATAAGGCGCACTTTGTGAGCTGGCAGGGCCTTGACAGATTCCCAATGCCATCCCCGACGTCCAAAGGCAAGGTCCCAAGGTCCTCTATAGACAAAAATCGTTCCTTTTTCTACATGTTATTTGGGATCTTTCACGCCGGACATTTGTCTAAGCTGGACACTGCGAGCAAACATAGCATCACTGCGGGGTGTCACACCTGAGATGGACACAAGTCTTCCATGTTTGTGATGTGCTGCAAAGGGAACAGTAACAACAAGGCCTTGGGGAGGTGTTGCCTCTAAAAACAAACACACTTTCCCAATTTTGGACATTTCCATGCGCACATTTTCTCAACCTTGGGATGAACTCTTCCATGAAGTCTTTCGTACTATGCGTTGTCACACCATGCACCATGAGTGCATCTTGGGTGCTATGGTATCCGCTGGGGGTTGCAGAGCCTGACCTTGCAACAAACGAAGCAAAGAACACAGGTCTGCTGCGCAAGTTGCTGGCTTGGTTAGCCCGAGCGCAGCACGGAACAGCTTTGTCCTTCATGGTTCAAAACGAAAATGTTGTGTTTCAGAATTTCTGTGCCTTTCACAGCCTTCCAAAACATAAGCCCGCAAATGCCGCTTTGCAACTTGTTCTACTTCAGACCACGCGCTTTGAAGTAGGCTGATGATACAGCAGTTACCCGAGCTTTTATGGGGCAAAGTGTTGAGTCACGCGGAATGTTTTAGGGCCTTTAGGGATAGCTGCCATAGCCCCACCCGCCCCATCCCTTCTTTCCGTCCTGACGGAGCATCAAGCGGGCAAAGTCTTGAAACCGGACGGAGCTGTCACCCCTGGCCCAGGCTTCTTTCTTCTTATTAGGCTTGCGACGATGCAGCCTTCTAAAAATCATGATACGCAAACATATCGCACACGCTTGATGGAGTCTCCCGACAGTGACATTGGCGCGTGAGTCCAAAAATAACGGGCTGGGAAAACAATGTCCGTGTGAAAGGATTACACCTTTGATTTCTTTGTTGGCGAGCTTGTCTTCTCACTTCCGCGTAGTATGTCTGCCTGGGTGTGAGGCCACCGCGTCCGAAAAGATCTCATCTCCCTAGGCAAAACTTGCCAGGCGCTGAGGGAATGCCAGCTCCGGTGTAGTCTGACAATCCCGCCTTCTGCCAGAAAACCCTGGAAGTCACTGGAAGTAGAAGTGTGCAGCCATTCAGGGCAAAGCCCTGCGTCCCTTTATGATCGTGTTCGACACGCCGAAATTTGTTTTGCTGCAGGCTTTCGGAGTACACTCGAATCATGATGCTGAATCTTCTGAGCCAAGTGACTTATCATTTGGCCACTTTACACATGCAATAGGCAGCCTCAGCCACCCAGCCACACCCACCAAGAGTTTTACTGAGAATTCCGCCCCATGAGCTCCAACAGCAAGCGCACTGGCCGTGATGTCCACACTCAACTGCCAAGGCGCCAGCGTCGCATGATCTTTGCCTCCATGTTGTAGGGCAGTCACCCTTTGGCCTTTTCTCACCGTTGGCTGATGTGATGAGTTACATCGAGCTGGGTAGGAAGCTTCCGCAATAATCGGTGCTGCGTGAACCGGTGCGTCTGGTCACGGCCGGGCAATCACTTGCGCACTGGGAATGTCACTTCCTGCAGACTTGAAAGATTGAAGGCTGCGCTGCCGGTTGCTCGCAACACGCGGCTTAAGTGTCCCATATCTCTACCATTGGTTCATTCACGGTGGGCCTTCTGGAACCTGAAGTCATGCTTTGCTTTTCTCAGAGAGAGGGTAGTGAGCCCTGCTACGCAATGCTCTTTTGGCCAGGACACTTCAACGCGTCGGACTTCGAAGCCCTTCTTGGTGCCGAAGAAGGGCCGTGAGCTTTATCAAGGCTTCGTTCCAGATTCCTTTCAGTCTGTCAGGTTGGAGTGCTCTTCAATAACAACAGTTGAGGGGGCCTTGCGCGAGCTCCAGGCGGACGAGCGACTTGAACCTCTTTTTGCGGGCGAGACGATGGTCGATAGTGCACTGCGAGAAACGCTGATGAACTGCGAGGCGTGCTTGGCCATAGACAGAACTTGCCTGGCATCGCATCTACCTTAAGGACCCTTCCACTTCCGAGAGAAGCCGTGAGGTCGACTTGTAAGTGACGCCTTAAAGGGCGCAGCTCGAAGAGATGGTGAGACGCTGAACGCTTACGAGAGTCGGGGCTGAGATAGTTCACAGCGCACGGCTCGACGCTGAAGAGGTGGCCACGATTGAAGCACAGACGCTAGCCACAACTTGTGGGACGTCCTCCAAACCTTTCACAAGATGTAGGGCGGCGACAGTCATAGGGTTGCGAGATCAAGATCAGCAAAGCCACGGCGCCAGAGCGCATGGGCCTGGTTGAACACGACGGAAACCCTTCCAGGAAGCCCTTGCAGCTCATCCAAACCGCGCGGGTCAAGTTTCTACAAGGATGCCCGGAAATTTCTTGACAAGAGCCAGGCCGGGTCTCCCGTGGCTTCTACCCAGCAGACCACAAGACTGAGCTGAGAGTGGCGCAGCTGCCGTTGGACATGTTGAAAAGAAGATACCGACATTGTGGAAGGGCCTGCTCCTGTGCTCCCTGCAGAATTTCTGGCCTTGATTTCGACGGTGTCATGATTCGAGACGACCGTGTCACACCGTGATGCTCAACTCACGACGATGACGATGACGATTGCAAAGTGTAAGCTGCTCTGTATGTGCGACGCAGCGCCATAGCGTCTCCTCATGCTTTCGACGACTGTTGCTCACTTTGAACGGCAACAACACACACCTTCATTGCATGTGTGACGGCAGCTTCACTTAGATAACGGGTTTGCGGTTACATCCACGAGGAAAGGAATGGCTCAACGGAAAGGTGAAGAGTCCAAAAACTTGAAGGTTTTTCAAAAAGTTGTTGACGCGTGACTGCAGAACGTGGTGGCGGCGGCGAGCTCAGCAGCAGGAAAAAGGTTTATGGGGAGTATCATGCAAACCACCATGGAAACAAAAAGTGGAAAAGTGGAGTAACGGCGTGTGCAAAAGTTCTTTCCGCAGGTACGTCACTGGACGTCTCCAATAATATCCTCACGACACTGCAGAGAGCTTTGTTAAGTGGAGCTCTGCAGGCCTGCTCCACTCCCCTGCACAAAGGTGGTACCCCTCGGGACGGGGTGTGACACACACACACACACACCCGGCCGCTTTGCGGTGCTCTCGCGCAAAACCTGAATAGGCACCTGAAAAGCCTTAGAAGCGAGAGAACGAAAAACAGAAAGAGCAGTGCTAAAAGGGCAGGAGAGAAAGATAGGGGTAGCAAAAGGCGACTACTTAGCCCTTGACTGGGGTAGGGAAACGAGCCTCAAGAACCACCTAAAAAACGACGAAAAACGTAAGAAAGAAAGAAAGAAAGTGGGGGGCAGGGAGGGGATGTATGTACATGTGTGTGTCCGTGTGTGTGTATGAATACCTAGCACTCTAGAGTTACCGCTTACTTAGCGGAAACTAATTAGGTGCAATAGTTCGGGAGCGGGACTTTAGTCTTAACAAGCAACATATCACACTTGAAACGATAGTGCAAGCAAACAGGAACACCGCGCACAAGGAAACACGTTTCAGGGCTTTCATGAAGACACAAGAAACACATGATGTGATATCAACGAATGAACAAACATGTGGGCGACTAAGTGGTTGTGGAGTTCTATTGCGCTCTCTCTCTCTCTCACTCACGACAAACAACTCAACTAGTCCGGCAGCGCTCATGCGTTCGAATCATCTTGTCCAAGTCAGGCGTGAACAGAACTCCAAAACCTTCGGAAATCCCAGGCAAGAACTGGGTAATGGAACGTCGTTTGTTTCGCAAAAACTGGGGTCAAGGCGCTGCAACTGCAGGCGAAAGGTCACCTCAAATTCGGTCTGCAATTACAACGCGCTTTGAATCACAAGGCAATCTGCAACGAGTGAACGCAAGGTCACATTCAAACCGACCTTTTGGTGAACGCAAATCAACGCAAATCAATGCAAACAGCAAAACCCGCACCCGCAAGAACAACCGTAGTAAACAGTCGCGCAACAATTAGTACAAACGCAATCTGCCCACCACAGCTCCCGCCATTTACGGCGCGCGCGCAGAATACATTCATCGCTAAGTTTGGGCCTTGGATCCGAAAACTTTTTACGGGAGAAAGCTTCCCATGCTCCAACAAAGCCAGTTAAAAGGAAATTCAGCTGTAAATCTGCTGGAGCTATTTATAAAATGTTCTGGATCTATTGACAAACTTTGCTGGAGCTATTTACAGTTTCTGGGAGATGGTGCGGGTGCCAGCTCTTCGTGTCCCCACCCTGCCCGGCCATGAGTCACCGCTGCAAAGCAGATTTTTATGTCAAAACAACACTCCCCCGGTTAGGGCCCTCACTTTGGGTCATCAATCATTGAACTGCTGCGTTGAATGGGGCAAACATAGAAACGCGCGTGCACACTGTTTGTATTTACTCATTTGCGGCTTGTTTATCAGTTCACTGAAAATTGTTGGATATGTTTGATGGTTTCGCTAGTAATTAGTGCATCTCTCTTGGCTTCAGCCTGACAAGTTCTTTTCCGATTTTTCCCCATCGCGCAACAGACGAGTTAGCAAACTCTGTAGTTGTCCTCTGCGTCTAGACGATGACAACGCGTCCCATTCTAATCCACCCCTGACGAACACGGTTACTCTGGTTTCTGGCCATTCCTTGGATCCTTCTTTGCACGTTCATTCGTCACTCTTTCCTTTTGATAAATTTTGGAGCCTAAGCGGCCGCCCCCTGAAAAGGCGGATGGAAGCCAACGGGATGGGGATACCGTGCTAAGTATCCTTAACCCTTACAAACCACCACAAATTCAACCAAGTTTGGATTTTGTTGATGCTGTATTTACTTTTCTTGAGTGTTGCAAAAGAGCGGCTGTTGCAGTTTGTCATTCATCTTCTCTACTTTCTGGTTTATAGCTCTTGGTGGTTTATGTATAGCTCCTGCTATTTTACATATAGTTCCTGCTGGTCAAACCGCTATTAAATATAGCTCCAGGTACTTGACAAACATAGAGGCCCACGCACACCCTACAATAACACAATGAAGCACACACAAGCAACAAAAACCAACAACATTTTGGTGTTTGCTTTGTCGATTTTTTGCTGTTGGTTTCCTTTATTGATCGTTGTTTCTGGACCAAAAGGAACAAATTTATGGAATTTAAGAGGAAATCCAATTGAAAAAATAAAAGAACAATAAACGGAGTCCTTACAGTTTTTAAAAGCATGTTTAAAGATATACGTTATCAAAAATCCGAAAAAAAAAGAGCAGGTTTTCAGCACTTTTGACGATGCATGTCCAGTTGTCAGCTAATGAGGAGCAGCGCCGATTTCTGATAAGTGCAAAAAAACTTTTGTATGGGCAGGCCCACAGAAAACAGCTGTAGGTAGATCATGCGCGGGGTCGTGGCCAAATATATATATATATAATATACACACACACATTTAGAGGACACCCATGTTCATTGTCAATTACAGTGCGCGCCGGCGACAAGCGCTGAGCCAGCGGCAGCCGGAATGTGACCGTCAACGAAATCACAAATTGCCTTCCCGGCTAAGCAAGAAAATGGAGCTGAATTCGAAGACGCCAAAATGTTCCTTCTCTTCGGGTGTGTATCGAGGCTCGACCACAAACTTCAGAGCCCCCATGTTAGCGCATGCACGCCAATACTCCAAGCGCTGTGAACCGATGACATGAACATGTTGTGAGTCACGGGGCAGAATGAACTTCCCGTTCCACTTCCCTCGGCTTCATTGTTCGGCTTGGCCTGTCGAAGGGAGGATGGATTGGCCCTGAGCGTGGCGGCAGAACGGGACAACGAAGCAAATGGCAACTTGCAAATCTGCGTTTTCACAAAATCAACCCTCCAAATTTTGATTCGAACTGAACTTTGCGGAGTTGGCAACTTGGCAGAAACAACATCGCTATCCTCGCGTCCTTTGGATCCGAGTCGCAAGTCCTCGCTCCTTCGGTGACGCAAGGCGCATAAGATGACCGCATTCTAGATAGTACACACACACACACACGCAAGATAGTGCGGCGACTGAATCGTCCTTGTTGGTTTGGTCGTCAGGCCATGGAAGCGCCTCAAATCAGGCAAAAAAAACAGCTTACTAAGTTTAAGGATCTGGCTGAACTATAATATTTCATAGGTCGTTGGGTCGTCATTCGCTATTTCAAAATGGAAATAAGGATTAGGTCGTTGAAATACCAAAATATTGGGTGAGGTCGGGGTTGGTGCGCGCGATGTGGCGCGATGTGGCCACGAAGCCTAGCAGCCTATCTGCGTCAGATAGGTCGTTTCTTGTTTCCCAGCGGTTTGGGCACAAGTGGT